GGGAGATCACATTCTAGCTAATCATAAACAGATGCTCCACTGCCTAAATAAAACATGAGGCACGAAAAGTATGCTATCAATTATAGCCAAACATTCCACCCCCCTACTCCCAATTTATTTAGCTATCCTAGTCCAGATCAGTACAGGAATGTTATTACTTTTAAAATTCAGAAAAGAAAGGGTAAACTTTTGACTCTGGCCCATATCATGTATGTTTAAGTTTCATCCTTCCAAGCAGAAGGGAAGACAGGTATCCATTAGGAAGGAGGAAGACAGGCATCACAGGGAAGAAACAGGGAACATCCTGTGGGGATACACTTTGCTTCATAGTCGATATCGTGGTACACACAGAGGCTCACTTAGCCGACAGGTATTTTCCTATATATGGTATCAGAAGAGATTTTTCATCAGAACATATGAATGACAATTCATACTCATACTTTTTTCAAGGAGTCATTTTTTGCAGTAAGAAATGAACTGAGCTGACTGGTTCCTACTTACGGTCCCGTGGAACGACAGATTAAGGATAAGTTTGACCAAACCACCTGAATGGGGTTTGAGAATCACCTAGAAATAATCTGCTCTGGGCAGAAGAGCTACTGTAGCAAACAAAGGCTCTGAATGGGGACTTGGGCAATCCAGTGAGCAGCTGAAAGAGCGCGGAATTATAGCTGCAAGTGGAGAGCAGGTTTGGTATTGTGTGTGTGGAAAGTCTCAGAAGAGAATTTAAGAAACTGGAACATGGCTGAGAAGGGTTTGACATATTGCACTAATAGGAGAAATAACACAAGTCTAAAATGTGGTGGTCAGCTACTTAAGACGTGGCTCCAGTGTGAACAAATTCCAACTTCATGGAACAAAAGTATTTACCTACAACATAGCAACGGTTTACAAAGGTCAAGAATAAAAAGGTCATGCCAAAAATGAAGAAAAATATTTTATCCAATAAGAGTGTCAAATCTGCACAACTATATAAGCAAATTTTGTTATTTTAGTCAACTAAGTTCTTTGGGTCACATATTTAAGTGAAATGTTCATTCCTGCAGAATCATCACAACAAAAACTAGTTACAAAAAAACACCTCGACATTTTTTGACAACATAAATTCCAACTTCATAAATATATAAATCAAACAAAATGCTGTTACAAATTCCAAACATTAGGCCAATCATATTGATGCCAATAACTTCCCATTAGTTCCGTAACAAAAGTTTAGAGAGCAGAGAAAGAGTCCTAAGTTTGGTTTCCTCATCAAATTATTTATCTAAATTGCACTAAGACATAATAATCAAGTAAACATAGTTCCTTATAAACATTTTTCCATAAATTAAAAAAATATTTTTAAAAATTTTAACCAAAATTTAAAACAAAGTTTATACCAAACAGAAACCTAAAAGCATTTCTTGAAAACTATGCTTACAACCAAGAAATTTTAGCTGTGAATAAATTCTCCACTCAGGTTTGAAGTGGGTCAAATACTCAATTTCATGTGAAAAGTGGCACATAAGTCAACTGTGTTTCTAAACGTTAGAGAACACCTTGACTGAGAAGTTAAAATAATTTGTCTACCTGGTTAAAAATAGCAGAATTTAAAGTATTCTGGTTCCAATAGGCTAATGACACCAAGAGCTTCCTAGGTTGACTGGTGACTGACTAAATGAGACAAATGACACCTAACTGTTAGGAATAGGGCTATGTTCAAAGAATACAGGCAGATTGAGTTGCTATGCACTTTGGTTGACATCTTGGAAAACGTCAAGATCTGAATGGGCTCCAGGAAATGAAAATTTTGAATTGTCTTAGTGATGGCTCCTGCAAAATTATGAATAATGCTGTCCACGACACTGTATGCATAAATAAGATGAATTTAATTCTGAAAAGATATCAAAAGTTTGTTAGAAAAGCCTGGCTATACATGTATAAATGTCAGGAGGAAGCTTAAAACTGCTCTGTAAGATGCTGGTTTCTCATCCCTTACCGTGCCGCCCACACCATTCAGATTCTTTAGCCACAGAATTGGCCCACTGTTATTTAAGCTAGCCACATTCAAGAATACAAGATCTTGTAAAAATCAATCTCTCTCCCCTCCAACACCAGGGGTTTGCTCAGCTATCAGAACCACCATTCTTTTGGACTTATCTACCAAACTATGTCTTCTGGCACCAAATCATTTAAACTACCTAAGACAGAGTTGCAATATTTTCCTGTGGAAAGGGTGCTGAGCTAAGAGTCAGCCCATAAGGGAATTTAAGGCATGTGACCATAGATGATTCAGTCTTTCTAGGATTCAATTTTCTTCATCTAAGGACCCCTTTAGATTAAAACTCTGTAATTCTAAGTCTTCAGGTTAGACAGAATCTGACTATAGGCAGAAGCCTCTAGTTATCCCTATGCCTTGAAATGTGCAACGGCATCTCAGATGTGAGAGTCACAGGGTGGGTACAGGCATAGCTGACTGCAGCTGGAAGGGCCCCTCTTTTGATATCCCATGATGTGTTTGTAGATGGGAGACAGGTATTGGTTACAAGCCACTGGATTTAAAACCTGAGTGGTTATTAGTAAAGCTACTCCTTCTTCCATCCCTAAAGAGTTTATAACCAGGATTTTCCTTTATGTTCTCATCCCCATTCCCTCTCACACACTCAAGCTCCCACTTCTCAGTCAACACTTCTTGGGGAACTCCAATACTTCTGATGGATCCTTAACAACAAAAATATGGGGAGGGGGACTGTTGTAAGTATAATACATGTCAACCCATCTTTGTACAATATAATTAACTTAACCCCAAACTGCAGAGCATCTACCTATCTTTTTAACATTTCTTATTGCTATTCCTGCCCATATACATGAATCTATTTATTCAAGTTCAAATGATCTAGTACATTTTTTTTTGATACTTTGGGCTATTTTAGTTAACTACCAAGCAAAACCCACCTTATGGGAGAAGGTAGGTAAACAAATTGGCAGATCGGCTGTCAAAGCCAAGTAGTCAAAATATGTCCAAGCCTCTCAGAGGTTCATTCTTCACTCTGCTCACTCAGGATGTTAACTATTAATTTATAAATAGGCTTCTTTCAAAGTGTATTGACACTCATGAGTTTGAGATGCCTCTGTCTAAAACGATTGTCTATCTGGCCATTTGCAAATGGATGGGATTACAATGAGCCTTATTAGCACACTGATTCCATAACCCCCATCTAACTGGCAAAGTGTAAAATTAGTTGCTGCCAGGTTAGCCAGCATTGGCAGAGTTCCTCCTGGTAGCTCATGCTATTACAGAGAGAGTTATAGTATGACCTACTAAATATGTAAATATTACCAGATTCACTGTGCCCCCAACCCCAATGACTGCCCATCTGGAGAAGTGAAGTATATTACTCAAACCTGGCTTCTTTAAAGGAAGAATTCTAAGAAGCATATTCCAAAATGAATTTTCTTCTTTAGAAACAGGTTGTGGGTAATTACCTAAACCTACATGAAAAACAGAACTTTTCCAGTTCGATTATCATAAATGATATTTAACTGTCCTATATTTAACTGTTCATTGACCTTTCGTGTAACTTTCCAGCTGTCTTCTCCAATAAAGATGTCTGATATAAAATCACAGAAACCCAAATGGGAACCTGTTCTTTCTGTTGGATCAACTATCAGTGGTGTTTCCAGATTACCTTTTTTTGTTGTTAATTAGAATATCATCATTCTTACAGATATACTGGAATTTAAGGTGAATCTGGATTTTTAAATTTTATTGTATTAAATATGTTTTCTCTAAGGTTTTTAAACCAAAACACATCAGTAGTTAGAGACTCAGGGTTTAACTTTGTTTCATAATTGCTTAATTCTAAGAAAGAAGTTTCAGCCAGTAATAGTCTAAATTTAAATGTACTTCATATTTACTTTCATCTCACCCCCTTCCTCAGTCGACATTTTGCTGATTAAGTTGTTGAGATGAAGAGAAATCCCTTACTGTAGAAAGAGAGAAAGGAAGTAGGGGCCAGCTCTGCCATGTAATGCTGAAACAGGAGGCCTTAGAGGAGGGGTCTGGAAGGTGAGAATCGAGTTATATTTGGCACACAAGTAATTCACAGCTCTTTCTCAGATTTTACTCCAAGAAATGCGTCTGTATTCAATTTTTTTAAATTTGGGGATAAGTCCAGTATTTTACCAGAAAGAATTTAAACTAGTACCATTCATATTCTTTAATTTCACCTTTCGGTCTCTTGTTTATTCTTGATAGTTCATACCTTTAGCTATATGGTGTTTCACACAATTTGACTTCAGAGAACACCATGTCCCACAGATGCTTAAACGATGAAACTCCTGGGAACTGTGAGGCCTACAGAGACGGTGCAGGCAAGTTTCAACAACCAGTCTCTAGAATTTTGTTATTAGTCTTCAGGAAACTGCCTGTACTGAAAGACTACTTACATTTTTTTAAATGTGCAAGTGTTTACATGACCAAAGCTTCAGGATGTGGATTTTCTGACTGATCCTAGCATTTCAAAGAAATAATAATGGTAAGAATTGGAGCCCTGAATTATCTCTATGATATAGAAAATTTCAAATGAAAAAGAAAAAGCAGCCTTTATAATTCAGACATCCTTTTTCTGGAAATAAGAATCAGATAATTTTTGTCTTACTAAATATGGATCACAAAACATTAGTTTTTCAGTTTTATCAGTCATGATATGTACAAGAAAAACATAGAAACACACACAAAAACAACAAAAAATAAAAATTCCTTTAAACTACTACATTAAGGTGAACAAAATTATATGGAATAAGAAACACTGTCAATAAAATTAAAACTAACATTAAATATCAATACTTACACAACAAAGTGCACTGTTTGCAAAATAAAGCTAACATACGATCACACAGAAAGACAAAGGCATCAACTATCAAAATACTGTTTTGTCTCAATACCTCCTCGTTTTGACCTTGGGAAATCACCAAGCCCTAAAGCACCTGGCTTATTATTTTCTCCCCTCCTCCCTCCCTCATGCTTCCATCCTTTTCACACTGGGGTACCAGTGTAAGAGGCTCCTGGAGGTGGCTAACCGTGCAGCAGCTCCTAAGGCAGCAGTGGCTGTGCTCCGAGGAATGTAGAGCTTCTGGGAAATCTGGTGCTCAGGAGACAAGATCAAAGAAAGCTGGTCCATGGCTCCGTGACTCTTGTCTTTGAAAACTGTAATAGCATGGCTACTAGAGAAATCATTCTTTAGGCCCTCTGGAGAGCTCTCCACTGAAAAGGAAAGAAAACACAAGTCTTTTCAAGGGGTTCTCACACTCATTGCCTTCTCTTTCCCATTCTAGATCTTTACTAGTGTGTGTGACAATCATTTTCTTTAGGTGGTGACATTTTCTGTTACAATTAGAGAGGATGAGACTCATCAGTCAACAAATGGCAAGGAAATGAGAATGGGGAATTGAGATGAAATAAATCCTTGTCAGAATGAGGGGGGGAAAGAGAGGAAAAAAGGTACTTATGAACAGGGAAGGGAAAATTTCTTTCTACGACATCAGAATTGGATATAATTCCAATTCCAGGGAGGAGTCCTGAAGCTCTCCTATTTCCTTCCAGCAGAAAGCACAATGGTGTCCCACACGTGTTTTCTATTGCCAAAGTGGTTTCAATTTGAATATACCAGTGTAAAAACAAAGCTGACCAAGATATTTGTAAGAAGTCCCAAAAACGGGTTATCAGCCATAAAATAAATTCCTTAGGAATTAGTGCCAAAAGTTCCAAACAGCCAAGGAAGGGGATGCTAGGCATTGTCACACATATACTCTAGACCATGAACTCTTTATTGCCTGCCTGCAATGAAAGGAGCTTTTGCCAGCATCTAAGCCAACACACTGCTTCTTTCAAGAAAATTCTGCTTTAGTTAAAAAAAAAAAAAAAATACAGGTGAGTTAAATAATGTGCTAATGTGTTGTCCATCATCACAAACACTTCGCAGACTAGTACCAGTATGATTACATTTTGAAAAGCACTGCTCTAGACCTTAAAAACACAGATTTCAAAAAATCTAGAGAAAACACGGACATAATACAGTACTTTATTCATCTTTGCATTTTTCGCAACTAACATAGTAGCACGTGGTATATATTCCATACATTTGTGATGAATCATATTCAAGGAGAATTTGACAGGGTATTCCAAAAAGTAAAACTCTGATCATAAAGCTATAATTAATGCTCACTAGAGAGGAAAAGAGCTGGTGAGCTCTAATAAAATAAAGTTTTACACAGTTTTGGTGAGCTCAGATTTTAAAAGGTATAAATATATGAAAGCAGGGACACATGATCAAAGAATTTAAAATAGTAGCAAAATTTCTGCTTCCAGATCTGATGTTAATTCAACAGTGATTGAAAAACCACCTCTCCTGCTTTAAACAACTGGAAAACTGGGCAGAATGTCTGAAACAGGAGCAGATTCAGACACTGAACAACAGGCATGCAAGGCAGTGATCCCTAAGACAAGGGAAACAAATGAAGTAAGTGCTACAACGACCTTAGCTCCTGCTGGAATAGTTTCAAGGCTTCAGTACAAGAAGGAAGAAGCCAAAATGAGCCTGGAGATCTTACTGGGTTGAAAAGACAGAGTTTGGAATTCAAGAAGGCCAAGGTGCCTAGAATTTGTGGGAAAAAGTATGAGAGAAGAGGCAGCTAGAAATCTAGCTAGACAAGAACACCTGCAGTAACCTCTGAGATCAGCCATAGCAGCTTCTTTCTAGATATGTCTGCAGAAGCAAGGGAAACAAAAGCAAAAATAAACTACGGGGACTTCATCAAAATAAAAAGCTCCTGCACAGCAAAGGTATAAACAATCAACAAAACTAAATAAGGCAACCTACAGAATGGGAGAAGATATTTGCAAATGACATCTCTGATAAAGGATTAGTATCCAAAATATATAAAGAACTTCTACAACTCAGCACCCAAAAAACAAATAATCCAATTAAAAACTGGGCAGAAGGCATGAATAGACATTTTTCCAAAGAAGACATACAGATGGCAAACAGACACATGAAAAGATGCTCATCATCACTGATCATCAGGGAAATGTAAATCAAAATACAATGCAATATCATCTCACACCTGTTAGAATGACTAAAATCAACAATATACAAAACAACAGGTGTTGACAAGGATGTGGAGAAAGGGGAATCCTCTTGTACTGCTGGTGGGAATGTCAACTGATGCAGCCACTCTGGAAAACAGTATGGAGGTTCTTCAAAAAGTTAAAAATAGAACTACCCTATGATCCAGCAATTGTACTATTAAGTATTTACCCAAAGAATACAAAAATACAAACTCCAAAGGATACATGCACCCTGATGTTTATTATAGCAGCATTATCAACAATAGCCAGATTATGGAAACAGTCCAAGTGTCCACTGACTGATGAAAGGATAAAGAAGAGGTGACACACACACACATATACATACAATGGAGTATTACTCAGCCATAAAAAAGAATGAAATCTTCCATTTGTGATAGAGCTTGAGAGTATTATGCAAAGTGAAATCAGTCTGCAGGATAAAGACATATACCATACGATTTCACTCATATGTGAAGTTTGAGAAATAAAACAAATGAGCATGGGAGAGAAAAGAGAGAAGCAAACCAAGAAACAGACTCTTAACTATAGAGAACAAACTGACAGTCACCAGAGGGGAGGTGGGTGGGGGATGGGTAAAATACATGATGGGGATTGAGGAGTGCACTTGTTGTAATGAGCACTGGGTGATGTATGAAAGTGCTGAATCACTAAATTATAACCCTGAAAGCAGTATTATACTGTATGTTAATTATACTGGAATTTAAATAAAAACTTGGAGAAAAAAAAAAACTGTAAGGTTACCAGAAGCAGGGGAGGGCGGGTATTGAATAGGTGATGGGGATTAAGGAGGCACTTGAGATGAGCATCAGGTAATATATAGAATTGTTGAACCACTATATTGTACACCTGAAACTAATATTACAATGTATAAAAAAAAAATCCCAATAAAAATTTTAGCAGGCTTTGTGTACATTTAATTCTAAAATTCATACGGAAAATGACCTAAAATGGCCAAAACAATTTGAAAAAGAACAAAACTGTATGATTTCAAGACATATAAAGCCACACTAATCAAGGCAGTGGTATAAAGCCATATAAACCACTAAAACATAATAGGAAGTGCAGAAATAGACCCTCACATATACCACCTACTGACTTCCGACAAAGACATCAAGGCAGTTTAAAAAAGGATAGTCTTTTCAAAAAATGGTACTAGAACAACTGAATATTTATACGCAATCAAAATAAACATTGATCCTTACATCACACCATAATACTAATGCAAACTGTAACTCAAAAATTAACAAATTGGATCACAGATCTAATTTTAAGACCTAAAACTATAGAACTTTTCATAAGAAAAAGAGCAAATCAGTTACTTGGGTTAGGAAAGATTTCTAAATAGGACGCAAAAAGCTCAAACTTTACATTAAGAAAAAAAATCAGACTTCATCAAAATGAAAACTTTTGCTCCTCCAAAGATGCTGTTAAGGAAGTCACACACTTAAAATATTTGTGAGATATATATCACATACATATAGATGTATATATCTGACAAAGCTTTTGTGTCCAGAATAAAGAATTTTTACAAATCAGTGAAAAGATGATAATCCAATAAAAATAAGCATTTGAACATGTAAGTTCACTAAAGAAGATTTACAGATTGCATATAAGCACATGAAAAGATGGTCAACCTCACTGGCAAACAGGGAAATGTAAACTAAAACCACAATAAGATACCACTACACATGCACTAGAATAGCAAAATTTTAAAAGATTGGTAATATCATTTGCCAGCAAGGAGATGGAGCAATCAGATTTCATGTAATCCTGTGTGAATCAAAAATGGAAGAGCCACTTTGGAAAACGTTTTGGCAGTTCTTAAAAAGTTCATCATGCAGTGATCATGTGACCCAGCAATTTCACTCCTTGGTAAGTACTGACTATGTCTATACAAAGAGCTGCGTGTGTGACTGTTCACAGCAGCTTTATTCATAAAGGCCCAAATCTGTTCATCTGATGATGAGATATCCATACAACTGGGTACCACTTAGCAATAAATAAGAACTTTTGACACTGGCAACAACATAAATCAATCTCTAAAACATCATGCTCGGTGAAAAAGGTCAGACTTAAAAACCATATAATGCATGACTCTATGAAATTCTAGAAAAGAGAAAGTAACATGCGGGAACCAGCGAGCAAGGGGAGGGAATGACTGCAGAGGGAAGCAAAGAACTGGTGGAGTTGTTCTAGGTCACGACTGTGGTGGCAGCAAGACTGTATACATGTGTCAAAACTCACAGAACCATCTACTCAAAACTGGCAAATTCTACTGTATGTAAAACAGACGCCCCCCAACCAAACTGCTCATAAAAAGAGGAGTGGCAAATAGAAGGGACAACTGAGCCCAGTAAGGACTTGAGACCAAGGCTAAAGTCAGCAATTTTTCAAGGTAGGTTCTGAAAAGATCAATGCAGGCTAATTTTTAGCAGGATGACAAACCACTGTGTTTGTCAATTAAATGTAAAGCTACCTGAACCAGAGCGTTTTTCTGCAGGATCAAGCAGCGGAGGCGTTGCACTAAGGGCTACTGAGGACAGCTGAACAGGCTTGGCCGGAGTCTGGACGCTGCTGGCCTCGGGCTGGCTCCCTTCCGCTGACTGCTGCGACCGAATCAGAGAGATGTAGAACTCCTCCAACTTGGGCAACGTGGAAGAATCCGAAGAACTCTCTAGGTTTGGCTGCTGCAGTATGAGAAAAGTAGGGCAAAAGCATGAAAAGTAGTTGTTAGTGTAACAGGAAGAATTAACCCTGTTTTGGTTCCTTAGTTATAGAGACAAATATTTTTCATATCAGAATTAATACCACTACTCACTTTTAAGAACCTAGTTCCTCTCTAGAAAAAAAACAGTCCTTTTCTAACTTAGTGACCATCAATTCAATTCAAGAAACATTTATTGAAGACACATTACGAGCAAACACAGTGCCGAAAGCGGCCACACAGAGGGGCAGAAGGGCGGCGGGAAAGGCGAGAGAAGGCGGCGAGTGCTCACCGGCCGGCACATGGCCAGGCTACCGGCATGTGCTTCTTCATTCAAACCTCAGTACGACCGCTCTAGCTTCGGGGTTCTGTCGTCCTCACCATGGGCCCTTTCACTTAGCAGAACGCTCTTCACAAGAGGCGAAGCTATCCAGTGTCACCCAGTAGGTGACAAAGCAGAGATGGGAACTCAGCCCAGTTCCTGTTCTCACAATCTCCCAGTAAGACAGGATCCCTGTCCCCAAGCTCACAGCCCTCAGTTGGAGAAACAGTGTGTGTCCTGCAGCCAGCCATGAATGGAGGCCTGGCCCACATTCTGCAGTGTGAACACACCAGGAGAACATAAACTAGTTAAAGGAAGGCTCCTCAGAAGAAGAGACAAAATGGAATGTTAAGAACCAGGGTTTGAGAAAAAAAGATGAACATCCCATATGGAGACTAAACTGGACTTAAGTGAATGGAACATCAAATTTTAACCATGAGATCCTATGTCCTACCATACTGTCATGGCTGAAGTAGATACAATCTATGGTAACAGCATTCACCTTCTGTGATGGTAACTGGCCTTAATATGACTAAAGCCAGCCCTACCCCACCTAGGCTGCCAACAGTCTGGGATCTGCCCTGAGTGAACTGAACCAGTAGTTATACAAACAGAAAATGTAGCTTTGTATGTTCTTCAGCCTCATATGTAGTAGACATCTAGTCTCAGTTGGCATTCTCTTTTTGTTCCATAACAAAAAAAATTCTGCTCGTTTTCAAATATGGCTGTCATGAAAGCAGTTATACAATTATGCAATATACAAAGGGCTATGTGGGTAGCCTTTTTTGACAGCAAAAATGAAACTCACATTTCAGATTAGCTATACTGGCCACACAATATGCTACTTCAGGAAATCAAAGATGTAGATTCAAATTTTTACTTGGCTTATGCAATTCATGTGTGTTTTAGTTACCCTGTAGGTTTATTCTCAGAATGAGGCTAAGCATTAGTGAGTTCTTTCAATAAGGCTCCAAAGGCAGGTAAATAAATATTTATATGATAAATTTTCAGAGCTGAAAAAATCACTATCTAAATCAGTCTTTGCTGATGGACAAACTGAGGCTCCAAAAGGTAACTTGTGCCAACCTGTAGATTTTAGTCTATGGTGAGTCTAAGGCACAGATTGCAGACCAGCCAGACCAAGTGTTTTTTACACTATGTCCTGCTATTTTCAGTAGTTTAACAAAAATTGAAATCAGAAACAAATTTTTGAGGCTATATCCTTTCTCTTTCCTCATAAATATGATTTTGAAGATGCATTGTTAAAACATATTTAAGATGCATTCTGATAGCTTATTCTGGAAAAAAAAATAACACAGGTGAATGCTTTCTAAATTTGTATGACACTCTGACAGCAACTGCCTGCAGTCAACTTGAGTATTTAATTGACAGTCAAGGTTCTTTCTCCAAAGAGTGTTCTCCAGCCTTGCTGCTCAAAGTGTGGTTCACCAACCAACAGCATCACCTGGGAGCTTGCTAGATATGCAGAACCTGTGTCCCCATCCCAAATTTACTCAGATCCTGCAGCTTCACAAGATTCTTAAGGGATGTGTAAGCACATTATACTTTGAGAAGCATCATACTACCAGATTTAGCTCTCTGTAGTTATCAATGACTGCCTCCATCATAGTTATCTGAAAACACACCTCATGGAACTAGAGGTAAATGACAGACTTTCAAGAAACATGATTAACATATGTAATCAAAAGCATAGACCCAAACCCCAATAACATACATCTTCACACCCACAAGAATGGCTATGATTTTAAAAAAAAATAGATATAACAAGTACTGGCAAAGACATGGACAAACTAGAACACTCTTATATGGCCGGTGGGAATGTCTATTTAGGAAAGTCTGGCAATTCCTCAAAACATTAAACAAAGAGTTACCATATGACCCAGCAATTCCACTCCTAGGGTACATACCCTCATAAAATTTAAAACATGTCTCCATAAAAACATGTACATGAATGTCACAGCAGCATTATTCATAATAGCAAAAAACTGAAAACAAATATCCATCAGCTGAAGAATGGATAAACAGAATGTGGTATATCCATACAATGGATTATTCAGCCATAAAAAGAAATAAAGTACTGATACATGATCAACCTTGAGAATATTATGTTAGGAAGCCAGACACAAAAGATCACATATTGTACTGATTCTAATTACATGAAATGTCGCAAAAAATAAGCAAATCAATGGAGACAGAAAGTAGATGAGTATCTGGCAGATAAAGGATAGGGTGTCAGCTAAGGGACGCAGGGTATATTTGGGAAATAATGAAAATGTTCTACAATTCCTTGTAGGATGAATGCGCAATAAGCTAATGGAGTAGTGAATATGCTAAAGCCATTAAACTGTACACTTTAAATGGGTAACTATGGAATATGAATTATACCTTATAAAGCTGAGGAGAGGAGGATGGAGTCTGAGCCCCACCAAGGGTTTCAGCTGAGATCCCCAAAGGATCCCATGTTAGGAATAACAGCCACATCTAAGGAGTAAGGACAAAAGTGAAACAGAGCAGTCCTAACAAAGCCTAAAACCAAACCTCATTGTGTGTGTTAAGGTGACTGGCTGGTATCTCAGCCACAGGACATCTCAGTCTGCCTTAGAGGAAGATAACTCATCTAGGGCCTCTGTAATTTTTTATCCATAATGTCAAATATTCGATTTAAAAAAATCAGGAGGTATGCTTCCCACTTTCTCCATCCCCCCCCAACCAAAAACAGGATCAAAGAACAAGATCAAATACGGAGGGCTGGGGCGGGGAAGAACATACCCAAAGTTGATTCAGATATTGGCATTATCTGAAAAAAAAAAAAAAACTTTAAAATAAATGTAATTAGCATGATTAAGAATACAGAGGAAGTAACAGAAAAAAATTGATGAAAATGTAAAGAATTTAAGCAAAGAATTCAAATTTATTTAAAAAAAGAATCAAATGGGCATTCTAGAACTGAAAAATGTTTGAAATTAAGAATTCAATGTGTGGGTTTAGCAGCAGAACAGATCCCACAGATGACAGGACTAGTATTCTGGAAGAATCAATAGAAAATCACCAAAGTGAGACACAGGAAAAAAAAAAAAAAGAAAAAATGTAAACATGAGAAAAGAGCCCAACAGGCATGTGGGACTCAGCCAAAGTGCTAGCACGTGGGTAACTGGAATGCCAGCAGGAGGGCGATAATGAGGGAAAAGCACTATTTGATTAAACAAATAGGCCAGAATTTTCTAAAACTGATGAAGGGCATCAATCTTCTTATTCAGTAAGCTCAGTGAACCACAAGTAGAGTAAATCCAAAGGAAATTACATGTAGATATATAATTATCAAACAGCTTAAAGCAAAAGACAGAAAAATCTTAAAAGCCAGAGAAAAAAGACATCATTGTCAACGGAACAATGACACCTGACAGCTGACAATTCAACAGAAGCCAGAACATAATGGTAGGACATCCTCAAAGGGCTGAAAAAAAGTGCCACCCTAAAATTCAATGCTCAGGGAAAATATCCATCAAAAATGAAGATTAAATTCAGAAACCTGGGAAATTAAACAACATATTCCTGAACAAACAATGGGTCAACAAAGAGATCAAAGAGAAGCTAGAAAATATCCTGAGACAAATGAAAACAGCATACCAAAATTGATGGGATACAGCAAAATGAGAACTAAGAGGAATTTTTTTTAAGATTTTATTTATTTATTTGAGAAAGAGGGAGAGAGCATGAACAGGGGGGAGGAGCAGAGGGAGAGGGAGAAGCAGACTCCCCGCTGAGCAGGGAACCTGATGCAGGGCTTGACGCCAGTACTCTGGCATCACAACCTGAGCCAAAGGTAGATGAAGAGGAATGTTTATAGCAGTAAATGCCTACATAAAAATAAAGAATCACAAACAACTTTATACCTTAAGGAATTAAAAAAAAGAACAAAGGCCAAAATTAGCAGAAGGCATGAAATAACAGAAATTAGAGTAAAAATTAATGAAATACACAATAGGAAAAAAAATCAATGAAACGAAGAGCTAGTTTTTTGAAGCTATAAACAAAACTTACAAATATTTAGCTAGATTAGTAAGAGAAAACTCAAATATCAGCAAACAAAAATCAGTTGCATTTCTATATACTAACAATGAACTACTTGAAAAGGAAATTAAGGAGTGCCTGGCTGGCTCAGTTGGTAGAGCATGTTGACTCTAGATCTCGGAGGCTGTGAGTTCAAGCCCAACACAGGGTGTAGAGATTACCTGGAAAGGAAATTAAGAAAACAATCACATTCACAATAGCATCAAAAAGAATAGAAGGTGAAAGATCTGTACACTGAGAACTATGTAACATTGATGGAAGAAGCCATAAATAAATGGGAAGATATTCCATACTCACAGACTGAAAGAATTAATATTATTAAAATTTCCATACTACCCAAAGTGATCTACAGGTTCAAAGCAATTCCTATCAAAATGCCAATGGCATTTTTTACAAAAACAGAAAAACAATCCTAAAATTCATATGAAACCATAAAGGACCCCAAAGAGCCAAAACAATCTTCAGGGTTGGGGGGAGGAGGGATCACCCTTCCTGATTTCAAAATATACTACAAAGTTACAGTAATAAAAACATTATGGGACCGGCATAAAACAGACATATAGACCAAAAGAATAAAATCGAGACCCCCAAAATAAAAACACACATTTTCAGTCAACCAATCTTTGATAATGGTGCCAAGATTACACAACAAGGAAAGAACAGTGTCTTCAACACATGATGCTGGGAAAAGTGGATATCCACAGGCAAATGAATGAAACTGGATCTTTATCTTACACCATACACAAAAACTGACTCAAAATGGATTAAAGACCTAAACATAAGACCTGAAACTATAAATCTCCTAGAAAAAAAGATAGGGGGGAAGCTTTAGGACACTGGTTTTGGTAATCATTTGTTGGATATGAAACCGAAAGCAAAAGCAACAAAAGCAAAAATAAACAAGTGGAACTACATGAAACTAAAAATCTGCACGGCAAAGGAAACAAAGGAAACACAATCACAAATGACCACATGTTATATGACATTTATATGAAATGCCCCAAATAAGCAATCTATAGAGACAGAAAGCAGATTAGTAGTTGCCTCAGGCTATGGGATGATGGGAAATGGGTGTGACTGCTAATGGGTACTGGGTTTTTTTTTTGAAGGGTTGAGGTGTTATCCTAAAACTAAATCTGTGCTGCTAAGCAACCCACATTTCTGGAACAGAGTATTCTATGTAACATAGCATACTTTATCAATGCTCTCATACAAAATAACCATATTTTATAGGAAAAACATCATTCAGAAAACTCATCTTCCACAAATCGGCTTTTCAACAACTCTCCCAGCCTTGAGTCCTTTATTTTCAATGTGACACATAAAAATAAAAGTGCAGAGGCCTGGTGGCCAGATTTCATGATTCACACATATTGTCCTGTTTTTAGGATGCTCATAATATATTTGAGAAACACAGAGCAAATATATTTTGTTCCAGGATTAGTGCTTTCTGCCACAGCAACATAAAAGAAAAAAATAGAGATTTATATTTTTGGCTAAATTATATGAAAATACCTGTTTTCTATATCTCTTACACAGAGATTTTATCAATCTTTCAATTCTAAGCTTGGGATTTTCTTCTGAAGAGATAAATTAAGTTGACTGAAATTAATTTTAAAATCAACCTACATATTGTGTATAGGTATTCCACCAAATGCTATAGAGGGGATCATTAACCAGAATTTTACTTTCTAAAAACGAAAGCACTTCCTCATGAGAATCTGTCAATAACATTTATTAGACATTTACCTTCTGAATCCTGGTTGTGCCAGTATTTTTTTGCTGAGCACCCAATCCCTCTTGTTTTTGAACTTCTACTTTCATTCCATTCACAAGGCCTGAAGGCTGCCATGAATCAACCCATATATCTTTGGGTCCAGAAAAGCACCAATCCTATAGAGAGAAAATTACAAGCATAAACTAAGACATAGTGCCACATGATCCAGAGAATAATATGGGCAAGGTAAAGGCAAGGAGGCAAAGTTGATTAAACAAGAAAAGGTGTTTATTAAGTTTCCATATCTGTGTGAATTTGCCCCCTTGTTTTATCAGTCCATATCCAATATCTTGAATTCCTTGGAACACACAGATGTCATAAAAACAAATACAACTCTGGTTTATAGTATTTTCTTCAATACTGTTTTCATGGCCAGATGATTTTTCATGATCATCTGGTGTTTAAATGGCATAAATAATAAGGAGCAATTTAACTGTAGATATTTCTTCTAATAACCAGTGGGAAGTAAATCACATTTTAAACATATAGTTAGGCCCAATATTAGCTAATATTCTCATTGCAGAGACCCAGAGATAATATTATAAAGCTAATGCAATAAAAATAAAATTAGTGAAAACAGTTTATTTATAGATCCCAAGGCCTAAGATTCCAATGATAAAAATCATAATGCTTAAAAGGTTAGATGGGACAATAAGTCCATGATTTATTCTTTCCTGTTTCAACTTGTCCTCCTCCCTATCACCATCTTTGGGGGAAAAAAATGAATTCTTCTGAATTATCATGTGATAAATCGTTTTGAATTCCAGAGTGTATAGATTTCTTGAGGTAATTTACATTTCATTTTTCAGTAATGATTTGCTGTTTTCCCAGGGATCTAACCTTCTGTGGCATTTCTTTACATGATGGGTATGGTTTCTTTCCACCAAGACTTGAGGTAAGTAAGTGGGAGGCAGCATCGCCCCCTTTTCCCATTTTAGCCTGCAGAGGTAACCAGTTCTCATCCCAAACATCATCACCAATAGTCACTGATTCCAGGCATGGCATTCCAGTGGGGATCTCATCCTAAAATGTATCAGAAGACAAAGAAAACCTTTAATTCATAGTTGCTATGGGAGTACATTTTAAAATTTAGGTTTACAATTTTTTTCCTGACTCCAGGGAAAGACAGCAGTTTGAATACATAACTGACTACCCTCTCTCTCCTGAAACATCACCAAAATATTCAGATTTAGATACAAACTCATTGTTACAGAGAACAGAAGACAACACCACCTACATTCTGGATAGAGAAAAGAAGAAAGTGACAACTTACTAAGCAGTCGCAAGAAAGGAGAATCCTGAGCTTATAGCAGGAAAAACTGAGAAGCAACTCAAATTTATACCAGATACTGCAAATGCTCAGAAACTGCTACTACAAGGTTTTTGGAAGTGAGACTGTAAAGTGGGAACAAAGACAAAAGCACTGGTAGAAGGTCTGTGTAAGAAGCAGATACCCAACTCTATTCCTCCATATACAAAGGAAGCTACACCTCATTTTCCTGCTGGAAAACGAGAGGGTCTTCTGGAGGGTAAAAGTGAAGGTGGGCAAGCATAAAAACAGGGAAATTCAGCAAAAGTTTTTATACCAAATATCAAAATCCCTAGGTCTGTTTTCAATAGCAGGACAGAGATAAAAGTAAAGAATTCATGAACTTGAAGAGAGATCCATACAAATTATCCAATCTGAATAAGAGAGAAAAAAAATGGGAAAACAAAAGCAAAAACAGAGACTTGGGGACCTATAGGACAATACCAAAAGGTTTAACACTTGCTTCATGGGAGTCCCAGAAGGGGAAAAGAAAGAGTGCAGTGCAGAAAAAGCATTTGAAGCAGTGTCTGAAAACGTCACAAATTTGATGTAAGACATAAACCTACAGATTCAAAAAGCTTGGCAAACCTCAAACAGAAATCCATGTCTAAGTAGATTATAATCTACCTCCATAGACAAAGGAAAATGACATGTTATTATAGAGGAACAATTACAATACTGCAGATTTTTCATCAGAAATTATGAAAGCCAGAAGGAAGTGCAATGAAATTTTTAAGGCCTGAAAGAAAAGAACTGGTAACCCAGAATCCTACATCCAGCAAAAATATCTTTCAAGAATGAAGATAAAATAAATACACTTCCAATGAAGAAAACTAAAAAAATTAATTGTCAGCAGATATACTCTAAAGGAATTGCTAAAGGAAGATCTTTGGATAGAGAGAAGAGGATACCAGAAGGAAAGTTGGAATATAGAGTAACAGAAATAAAGAGTAACAGAAATGATCAGTATCTGGAGAAGTATAATGGACTATTCTTGTCCTGAATTGTTTGAAGGTGCAAAGGAAAAACTATAACATTGTAAATTCTCAACATATATACTTGTCATATGTAAACATAGCATAAAGGAGGTGGGAAGGGGTAAAACACCTAAATGGTGGTAAGATATATACATAACACTTGAAGTGGTGAATACAGATTACATCTACTGTGAAAAGTCAAGATGTATATTGTAATTCCTGGAGTAACCAGTCAAAACACTATATAGGTAGATATAATAAAAATATAATAAGTAAACTAAAATGGACTACTAAAGAACACTAAATAATACTAAAAGAAGGAAGGAAAAGAAACGCAAAGGAATGAAAAGCAGAGGTAACAAATAAAAACAATGAAATGGTAGACCTATAATCAAAACATATCAATAATGATATTAAATGTAAAATGTCTAAACATACTAACTAAAATTCAGATCATCAGAATGAATTTAAAAAATGACTAAACTATACGCTGTCTCAAGAAACTTACCTCAAATATAATGATAGGTAGTCTAGGTTAGAAGTAAAAGGATAGAAAAAGATATATTATATCAACAATTAAAAATAAAGCTGGAGTGGCTATACTCCTACCGGACAATGTAGACATCAGTGCAAAGAAAGTAACTATGGATAAAGACATTTCATCGTGATAAAAGGGTCAGTTCATCAAGAAAACACACCAACCCTAAATATATGGCACCTGACAATAAAGCTCCAAAATACACAAGGAAAAAAACCGACAAGAAAGGAGAAACAGACATAATCCAAGATTATAGCTGATGACCTCAACATTCTTTTGAGTAATCAATAAACGAGTAGACAGCAAGGATACAGAAGAACTGAATGATACCACCAATCAACTGGATCTAATTAACCTTTATAGAACACTCCATTCAACAAAAGCAGAACACAGGCTCTTGAAAGGCACATGAGACATTCACCAAGACAGACCGTATCCTATGTCAATGTACCTTAACAAATTTAAAAAACTGAAATCATACAAAATATGTTCTCAGACAATAGAATTAAACTGTAAATAAGAGAAACATAACAGGAAAATGTCCACTTAGAAACACACTTTCAAATAATCCATACTTATATGACCCATTGTTATATGACCCATATAATAATAATTAGGGTCATATAATTATGAGTCAAACATGACAGCTCAAAAATAATCAGAATATATTTGAACCAAATGAAAATACAATGTATTCAAACTTGTGAAATGTAGCTGAAGTGGTACTAAGAGGGTTAGAGCATGAAATGCTTATATTAGGAAAAAAAAGGTTTCAAATCAATAATCTAGGTTTCCATCTTAAGAAAGTAGAGGGGTGCTAGGTGGCTCAGTCAGTTAAGCATCTGCCTTTGGCTCAGGACATGATCTCAGGGTCCTGGAATCAAGCCCCACTTCAGGCTCTCTGCTCAGTGGGGAGACTGCTTCTCCCATTGCCTGCTGCTCCCCCTGCTTGTGCTCTCTCTCTCTCTCTGTCAAATAAATAAAATCTTTAAAAACTTATTAAAAAAAGGAAGTAGAAAGCAAAAACATAAGAGCAATGGAAAACAATGAACACTGAACAACAACAATGAATTTGAAAACAGAAAAACAGATATAAAATCAAGGACACCAAAAGATGACTGTTTAGAAAAAATTCAGTAAAACTGATAAACCTCTAGTAAGATGAACAAAAAGGAAAAGACACAAATTGACATTAGGAATGAGAGAGGGGATCATCACTGCAGGATAATAAGGGAATACTATGAACAACTCTCTGTAGACACTGTAGACACACAAAATTGACAACAGAAATTAAATGAGCCAATTCCTCAAAAACCACAAAATACTAAATCTAACCCAGAATGAAACAGTCACCTTTAATACTCTTATCTACTAAAACAACTGATTTATAGTTTAAATTCTTCTGAAAAAGAAATCTCCAGGCCAGTTTCACTGAAGTAATCTAAGAAACAGTTAAAGAATTAACCTCCACCCACCCACAAAAAGAAACTGATTTTTACATAATCTTTCCAGAAAATAGGAGGGAACACTTCTTTCCAGCCGCTTTTATGCAGATAGTATCACCTTGATACTACAACCATATAAGACAGTAACAAAAACAAACAAAAAAACCTATAGACTAATATCTCTCAAGAACTGAGGATGCAAAACCCTCAATAAAATATTAGCAAACAGAATATAACAACATATAAAAGAATTATACACCATGACCAGTGGTGTTATTCTAGGTATGCAAAGCTGGTTTAACATCTGAAATTCAATCAGTGTAATCCACTACATGAACAATCTAAAGAAGACAAATTATATGATTATAACAATCAATGAAAAAGCATTTGATAAAAGTCTGCACCCACTTGTGAGAAAAACTCTTAGAAAAATAGGAATAGAGGGGAATCTTCTCACCTTGATTAAAAAAAAAACTAAAATTATACGTAATACTTTTCTCCCCAAGATCAGGAATAATGCAAATTTGTCTTTCACCATTCCTATCCAATACAGTGCTAGAAGCTTTAGCCAATGCAATAAGGCAAGAGAAATAAAAGGCATGCAGATCAGAAAGGAAGAAACAAAACTGTCCCGGGCCAAGGACATGACCGTCTATTTAAAAAATCCCAAGGAGTCTACAAAAAATCTGAGTAGGCAAGGTCACAGTATACAGGATTGTACAGAAAAATCAAATGCATTTCTATATACCAGCAATGAGCATGCAGAACTGAAATTAAAAACACAACACCATTTATAATCATTCCAAATAGTATGAAATAATTAGGTACATACCTAAAACACCTACAGGACCTATATACTGAAAATTACAAAATGCTGATGTAAGGAATCAAAGAAGACCTAATTAAATGTAGAAACATGTTTGTATACTGTAAGACTCAACACAGTAAAGATGTCAATTCTCCTGCATTGATCAACAAGTTTAATGTAATTACTATCAAAATCCCAACAAGGTATTTTGCAGAAATACACAACTTATTCTAAAATTTATATGGAAAGGCACAAACCCTAAAATAGATGAAACAGTCTTTCTTTTTGTTTTTTTCTATTATGTTATGTTAATCACGATACATTACATCATTAGTTTTTGATGTAGTGTTCCATGATTCATTGTTTGCGTATAACACCCACTGCTCCACGCAGACATGCCCTCTTTAATACCCATCACCAGGCTAACCCATCCCCCTACCCCCCTCCCCTCTAGAACCCTCAGTTTGTTTCTCAGAG